TGGTCAGCTTAAGAGATTCCAAGCTACTGTCGGATCTTCCGCAGTTTAATCAACAGTAGATCAACCAAAGGTAATTGCAACTTGGACCTAATTGAGGAGCTAGGGGGAATCATACCTAGTGAGTTCACAACTTGTAATTAGTAGAGTAGTTTATAAATCAATCCTTAATCTAGTTTGCTAGATAATGAACTGAAGCTGAGTAATAGTAACTCTAGCGACCCGTGGATTCGATATTTATTACTTGTGCCACTATACTGCAGTCCCTTTCATTGGTTACACTTGGCCATTGTTAGGTGTTGTGTTTTAGCGTGTCAAGTATCATAAATGTTTCTATAAAAAAATGATTAGAATGAACGGTAAAAATGTACGTTGTCACGGTGACTAACTATTTAAGGAATTGAGTAACCCATTACTTAGTCCAACCCATTATGGTTAAAATAAACTTGATGATATTCACATGATAAAAAAAATCTGAAAAATGACTAAATGAGGATTACTAACCCCTTTTCGTCTTAATCTCCATATCAAAAAGTTACTACAATATAATTTCTCATTTTTAACGTGGTTTCATTCCACTAAATTTACACTAAAGGTATTCAATTCATCCTTGATTTGGCACTCTACCCATTCAATATGGACCAGCAACTACCGAGTTCTCACTCTTGTTCCTGAAAACGTTGGATTAAGTGCAGCAGAGAGATTGAGACTGATTGTTTGACTATCGTTGGCCATATGTACAGGGAGGATATGACGATGACAGAAGTGGAGGTGACGTGTGAAGAGCTGCGAGATCGTCTTTCGGAGCTGGGCTCGACTAGAGGTGGCTTCTTGGACCGGTCAGCAACCAGGCTGCACATCTTATGGTACCTAATGTGGTTGGAAAGAGACAAAAATTTGGGCCTCCAGGCCTCCTTTTTTTTTTTCCCCCAGCTAATTGCTGATTCCTGTACTATTTCTCACAATTAATGAAATAATACAGGCTTTTCCATAATAATAAAAGTGCAGTAGAGAGCTAACCTACCAACTACCAGCAACTCCCGGAATAGATAAATCCTTTGTTCCCGTAATCGAAAAAGTTAGTGGTTTAGTGTTCAGAGATTAATTGTTATAAAAGCGGGGCTAACTGTTGAGAGATGTTCATGATAATAACATACAAGACTTGTATAATACACTAATTTAATAATGAAGTTATCATTGACCATAAATAATTTCAAAATCTTATCATCACCAAAATATCTAACAAATCATTCAAACTGCCTCACAAAAAGAAATCGTAATTTTTTTTAATTCAAATTATAAATTACGGTGTCAATCGGTAGTGGACCACGTAAAGTGGTCAACTAGGTTGGAAAATGAGAAGAGAAACAACAAGGTTGGAAAATGAGAAGAGAAAACAGAAATAAAATTAATTATATGGTTTGATGGTCTTAGTTTATGTTAAAGTATTTTTTTATTTGATGGTCTGAGTTTACATTAGGGTTTTTTTTTTTAATTATGGTTAAAATAATGAACCAGTGGACCAATTAAACTATGATTGTTCATCTGGATTTATGTTGAACCGTGAAAAATTATTTGGTTCATTAATAATCGTTCAAGTAATAAACCGGACCGCTACCATAACTGATTTGACAGTTCTATTGTCCCAGCTATTGATCCTGTTATGTTCTTATAAAGTTATAAGAATGGATAAATCAAATCAATTTAAGACCAGAAAGCCCATACAGACATGTGTGCGGTTTCACTTTCCTTTCAATAAATTCATATCAAACGACTACTTAGACTTTTGCTTTATGTAACTTTCACCTTTTTCTTATGTGTGCGCGTTTCTGATGGATATCTTACTAACGAGGATCTCTGGAATTGTCTTTGCAGTCGACCGGAAGAAAAACATCACCAAAACGTTCATCGACTTTGGACTCAAATTTAATAAAAGCAGTCCCATGACAAACTAACACCATTCCCACCGGCCGCCATCACCATGATTAGTCATACAGATGTACATCTGTAGCTAGCCAGTGGATATATATGCAAAGAATTTATGGGGAATCTATATATAGAATCTCCCATGGTAGATACATTATGTATCTCCCTCCTGTTCCTCAACATGTATCCTATGCATACTTTAGGTGTATTTGGCTTTCAAATCTTCATACAAGAAAATTCAGCGGTACGGGCAAATAATTAGAGACAATAATTGTATTAGTTAGAGGGTTGTACCAAAAATATTATTTTCCTCCACGAAACTGTAAGGTTCGTGACAACAACAAAAATTTGTTGTATAAAGGCTTAAATTCGTCATGAATACTGTCACAAAAAAGGAATAAACCTTTGACGCCTGCACAACGTCTCAGAAAGTTCAGTGACGAAAATAACTGGTTCGTTGCAAAAATAAAACATCAAATGTGTCGCTGAAATTCGATGATTTGGCGACTGTTAATGTCGCCAAAACATGGTTATTTGGCAACTACAAGAGCTCCGTCGCAAAAAAAAAGAAGAAGTTATTTCGCGACGGTTATATCGTTGCATAAACGCTAATTTAGCAACGCATCAATTCGTCACAGAAGGTGACAAGCTTTACCGACATTCATTTTCAGATTCTTTCACAATATATTTCCTCGTCAAAATCAAATCATCACCTCACCAAAGCCTCGTTAATCCCAAGCTCCCAAGCCCTAGCTCATAATCCTTTCTCTGCCACGACCCAACAATCAAACCCGACCGTAATCTAAACCTTAATTGTTGTCGTTGGAGACCACCAAGCCGCATTTCTGATTAAGCATGGAGAACGGAAGACGACACGCGGATGATGGCTAGGGTTTACCTGCAATCCCTGTTGTTAATACCGTCATTGTTGGAGCTTCGTCTCCGATGAGATACCGTTCAACGAATCCAAAAACAAAAGCCATAAAGAAACAAATTTCTTTATTATAAGAAAACTGAAACAAATTTCTTGGTCTTGTTTCCACCACGATTTTCAAATTAGGATCTCTCAAAGACTGCACATAATAAACTCTAATTATTTGACTAGCTAGAATGAAGGGCACCTCAGCTCTAAGCCTATGTGGTGTGTAAACCACGGAGATAACTCATATGTGCTTTGTAGATGATCTCCTGGTATATATTTCCCAATGAATCACTTACGCAGTGGTTGGGGTTAGACATTTACTGGATGAATTCTATAGTGTTTTAGGGCTGTAATGTAACCCCTCGAACTCTCAGCTCTATTTGTGCAAGAATCTCTCAAGCTGATGAAATGCAATACATCTCGGATCACACTGAATTCCCATTAGGGACTTTGCCTGTAAACTACTTGAGAGTTTCTATGCTAGCCAGCAAGCTGTGAAGGAAGGACTGCAAAGCCCTTGTGGACAAGATCACTAAGAGGATTCAGAACTGGCATGCAAAAGCAGGGCTGACCAAGAGGGTGTGTCGGCCCGCCCTCCGGCACAGGGCCTCCAAATATTAGGGGCCTCCACTTAGATTCGTTAGTTACCGATCGAATATTGCAGGTTGTTTTTTTAGTGTATGATTGATAGATTATGAACATGATGACGAATTTAATAGATAATTTTAATTTAAACAATAAAGAAAGATATTACATTTTGAATAATGGTATTATAATCATTTTAGTTTTATTATAGTTAAAAGTCGATTTGGATCATGTCTCAATTTTAGAATAGGGCCTACACGGTCCATTAGATAGACCCGCACCCACCTCTCGATCAATTTATATTATTTTCATTTCTCCATTCAATTTTTGCTCTATATCCATTTTCTGTTCCCTCCAGATTTACTTTTCTCCCTCCTTGCTAGGAGTGAGAATTTGGTCTTGGTTTCTTGGTCAAACAGGAAGTGAGATTGTTTATTCATTTTGAAATCATTTTCTGAACTTATGTACTTTATAATTATTTAATAAATTTTTTTTAATTTTTAATAAATTTATTGAGAAAAAAATTAGGGGCCACATGTTAAATTTTCGAACAGGACCTCCAAATATCATGGGACGGCTATGTGCAAAAGTATGAGTTTTGCAACTAAAGTTCAACTCATCTCATTGGTGTTAATTAACAATCATTTTTACAGTATTGGATTACTCTTTTTCCTCTTCCAAATTATTTAATTACGGAGGTTGAAGGAATTTGCAATAAGTTCCTTTGGGAAGTCAGTGAGAATAGTCAAAGAACAAAGGCAGTAAAGGCTTGGAAATTAATAGCTCGACCTAAGATAGAAGGTGGGCTAGGACTTAGAGATTTCTCTATTTGGAATAAAACTTGTGTACGTAGTAAGATATATTTGAATATTCTGCCTTCGAAGGTAACGTTGTGGGTGGCGTGGATTAACTCAAGATTAAGAACAGCATATGGATTGCAAGAAAAACACTCCCAAAACGATTAATAGTTATAATATTTACAAAGGAATCTCATCTCATCCACCATCAATCGCACTTGAGGTAAGGGTTGTACCACTAGAGGCCGCGGCGGATCCAGGATAGGGTGGGCCACATTTGAAAATAATCAAAGAGAATTGAACATAATCCAATAAGAACATAAACGAATTTCTAAAATCGAAAATTTACAAGTACTAAACTAACTTAGAATCCAGAGAAGACTGGGCCGTGACTCGGGGCGACTCCTGGATCCGCCGCTGCTAGGGGTCGAAGTAATCAACCTAAGACTGTCAACTTACAAGTTACAACTGACCGCTATTTTAGCTCCTCTCGTAAAAGAAAGCAAATAAAAAGGAAAGTAGATAGAAAAGGTTTTGGAAAAAAGATGACCCCATAATTCTAATAAATAATAAAAATGAAAAAAAAAAAAAGCTGAGGACTCCCTTTAACTTTACATGCTACAACAACGTGGGCTCTTGTCAAAATCCGCCATCCTAGAGAGAGAGAGAATGATGATACGTATATATATAGAGAGAGAGAGCTTTGCTTTACTTTGCTTTCTGTTCATCAGTTCAACTTTGGAGCTTTTGATTATTGGTCCCCAAAAAAAAAAAAATGTTGCTTTTTTTTATAACGGGGACCGTGTTCATAATTACTAACGGTCCGAGTAATTTGGGGCTCCGTTATAATTCACTGCATGGCCGTGCATGGCGGCTAACGTCCGGCACAAACCGGTGAGCCTGCCACGTAGGACAATCGACTCGGATCTCAGTCGCTGGTTCGCCTTCCAGACCACGTTGCACTGGCTCAGGGTCGAACCCAACGCGTACTTCAGCTCCTGGTTCTCCAGGTTCAACCGGTTCGCCTGTTCCGTCAGTTTCTCCAAATGCCTCTTCTTCCTCCACCTGGACCGTCGGGCGGACTCCCGGTTCGACACCATCCGCCTCCGCTTCCTCTCGTCCACGTTGTAAACGGACCGGTCCGACCCTTCCGAACCGGAGTTCGAGTTCGGGCTACCCGTCGTTGTTGTTGTCGTCGTGGCGGCTTGGTGGTCATATTGATCAGTAGAATCGAGGAAGGACAAGAGCTCATGTAGCTCGTGGGCCGTGAACCCCGGCTCGTTGGTCCGAACCGGGATATCGAACAACTCGGTCGCAAACATGATCAAGAGAAGGAAAGCTAGCTCAAAGAGAGAGAAAACCGGGTTTTTTTTTTGTTCGGGGAGTGAACCGGAGGGAGGGAAGGAGGGGAAAAGGGAAGGATGAAGTGTTGGATTTGGGTATTTATAAGTGGTGTGGGGAGGGGCAGTATGGTCCAATTGGTAGGGAAAAAGATTTTTCTAGTGAATAAGTGTACACTGTTGTTGTGAGTAAGGTGTCACAATGATATGGGAAATGGGGGGATTTCTCTTTTTTCATTTCACCTTTATTTTTCTCTCTCTCTCTGCTTTATAATTAATTTTTTATTTATTTTTCTTGATAGAATTTGTGGGGCATGAGGAGGGAGAAAAAAAAGATTAGGTTTTAGCTTAATCACGAAGAATTAGACCGAAACACATAAAACAACAATTTTACGTTTGATAGCTCTGTAAAATTAAACAATTTAGAACAAAAGAATTTATAATAGCTATTAATTAAATAAATGGGCTCATTTTGGTGGACTAGACTTGTCCATTTGGGCTTAGGCCGATTTTTTTATTTTTTTATTATCATTTACTGACAATTTTGTGCGGTTAAGAGAAAAGGAGAGGGTCGGGTGTGCTCGATATTAATGAGTTTTATAAGGTTTATGCGTTGTGATGTATTTGATAGCGAATTATACTTTGTGAAGTATTAGAGAAAGAAGAAAAGGGAGGATAAGGTTTTTCAAATATTATGCATTGCATGGGCTCCGAAGATGGCAAATTGAAAATGACAAGAGGTTAATCATCATTATCATTTATCATATGGTTAGTGATAGCCAGTTAATCATCACACACTCACTTATTAAACCCAAGTTGGTATGTAAGGGGCCGTTTGGAACTTGCGTATGTTAAATCGTTATAATATAATATATAATACATGTATTGATACAATCGTTGCATTTAACATTACATTGTTTGGTTGTCGAGTTTATAGGTTAGTGAATAACTTACATAAAGTAAATTTTTGATGAAAATGTCACATTTACCCTTTATTTTAACATACAACATATCACTTTTCCCCCTTTTACTAAGTATATAAATGGAAATAAAAAAGAGATATAAACCTAAAAGCAACAATCATAACAATCATAATACCTCGCTTTTTGCGATTGTAGGTGGGACCCACACAAAACAATATATGCATTGTTTCACACTTTGACAATTCTAAACTTGTATTGTGGACAATGCATATATTTTATAAGCACAACACTCACAATCACAACTTTCAAACACCCCTAAGTCCAATTTAAAAGTCGACCTACACCAATTTAAAGGTAGACGTAGTGATGCAATTCCTGACTCTTTGAAAAATGAAAAGTGAGGGCCTATTTACTATCCTCTTTGTTTCTGAGATTGTTTAAACAGAAAGCATAATTTGATGGAAACGAATCTACTGTTTTCTGAGAAATAAAATTTGAAACCTGGAAATCAAAATAAGTTTAACTAAATGTTTTGTTGAATTATGAAACTAAAACCTGAATGATGATAGATTGTCTTAAATCAAAGTAAGAAAATTTTGAATGATAACTAATTAGAGGAAATAACTAATGAGCATCGAGTTATACTCAGTAGAAATGTGATATTTAATGAGAGTCTATGTTTAACCCCATGTTGAAGGTTACTGTTGTTGAAGTAGCAAGAATGTTGATAAGCAGGTGGAGTTGTAAACTCTCAAAGAGAGTGAGTTTGAGCCCCAAGGTGGAGAAGATCAACCTGAGCATGTTTCTGATGAGCTAGAAGCTTCGGAGTCCAGTGTAGGAGCTAAACAGTCTATAGCTTCCGGTAGACCGAAGAGACCGACTGCAGAGGTACCTCCACAGAAGTATGGTTTCGATTACATGGTGGCATATTCATTTCAGGTTGTTGAAGACGTGGATGCAAGTGAACCACTGACCTATATAGAGAAGCTGTTTCGTGTGGCGAAGCTAATCAGTGGCTTGCTGCAATGGGAGATGAGATGGAATCCCATGACATGAATCAGACTTGGGAGCTAGTCAAACGACCACATGGAAGGAAGATTGTGACAAACAAGTGGATCTACAAGAAGAAGGAAGGAATGACTTCTGAAGAGGGCAAGAAATTTAAAGCTCGGGTGGTTGCACGAGGCTTCTTGCAGAGAGAAGGAGTGACTACAATGACATTTTCTCACCAGTGCTCAAACATACTTCGATAAGGGTGCTAATAGCAATAGTGGCACATTATGACGTGGAGCTCGAGCAGCTAGACGTGAAGACAGCTTTCCTACATGGAGAGTTGGGGGAAGAAATTTACATGACTCAGCCAGAAGGATTCCGGGTTCCAGGAAAAGAAGACTATGTTTGTAAGCTGAAGAAGTCTTTGTACGGACTTAAGCAATCTCCGAGGCAGTGGTACAAGAGATTGGATAGTTACATGCTTGAGTTGGGCTACAACAGAAGTCCATATGATTGTTGTATGTATCACAACAAGGTGGAGGATGGTTCGATGATCTATCTTGTTCTGTATGTGGATGATATGCTCATAGCTGCGAGGTCGAAGTCTGATATCCAGAAGTTAAAGGGGCTTCTCACTGTTGAGTTTGAGATGAGGGATTTGGGAGCTGCTTAGAAGATCTTGGGTATGGAGATTTACAGGGATAGTTTGAAGAAGAAGCTTTTCTTGTCACAGAAGAGATACATCTAGAAGATATTGTCGAGATTTGGCATGTCTTCAGCAAAACCCTTGAATAGTCCTAGTGCTTCAAATGTTCATCTATCATTAGCTTATGCACAGCAGTCAGAGGCTAAGAAGGAGTACATGTCGAGAGTCTCATATGCTAGTGCAGTATGTAGCTTGATGTACGCTATGGTATGCACTAGACCTGATTTTGCACATGCTATTAGTGTTGTCAGCAGGTTCATGTTACAACCTGGAAAGGAGCATTGGCAGGCTGTGAAGCGGATCTTCCCGTACCTTAAGGGTACATATGATGTGAGGATCAGCTTCGAAAGTGATACAGAGTGCTTGGTGTATGGGTATTCAGACTCGGACTATGCCGGAGATGTTGACACGAGGAGATCAATGACCGGTTATGTATTCACTCTTGGGAGTTTTGTAGTGAGCTGGAAGGCAACTCTGCAGTCAGCGGTGACATTGTCTACTACTAAGGCAGAGTATATGGAATTGACAGAAGCTGCTAAGGAGGGAATATGGTTGAAGGAACTAGTTGGTGATCTGGATCTACATCATGATCAGGCAGTAGTGTATTGCAACAGGTTGAGTGCAATATGCTTGACCAAGGATCAAGTCCACCATGAGAGAACTAAGCACATCGACGTGATGTATCATTTCTTGAGGACAGAGAAGAGGATTAACGTGAAGAATGTTGGCACCATGGATAATCCTGCTAATATGTTCACGAAGCCGGTTCCACATGGCAAGTTCCAACACTACTTGGATTTGTTGAATATCTTGAGTACATCAGAGATTTCAGAGGAAGAGGATTCAAGTCAAGGTGGCGATTTGTTGATGTGACTTGAATTGGACTATCATCCTCTACGACTGGAATAGTCGGGGGCCTCAAACTTATTTGGGTTCGGGTTCTGGGCCTGGTCTATAACTGTTTCCTTTACCATATTGGATTAGGTTTCGACCCACATGTAGAAGTATAAATACTTCTCATCTCCTTTGTAATCTGGAATGTCCTCGATACAGTGAAAACTGGCTCTTCTGCCCGTGGACTAGCTAACACACATTGTGTTAGTGAACCACGTAAATAGTGTGTTGTGTGCTTTCTGTTTTCGCTTTCTTGCTTTGTCGAATCCTCAGATTTCCCTATTCATAGCAGCGTAGTAATAACAATATCATAAATTATGTGATATTAATATAACACCATTCTACAACTGTTAAGTAACATAAATATGTTAGGTAAAGGTTAAGTAATAATATGAGTTGTACGACACTAGGCTACATATCATTGCAAGATACGTTAGTAGTTAATCTTATATACACAATTATCTTAAATCAGTAAGCAATCTAAATCTTCCTAGGCAATGGCCCGTTGAATTGATTAGGCCAAGACCAATGCAAGACCCCAAATTTGTGGGCTTTCACCCCAAATTTGGGGATTGTCCCATTTTCTTCAACTTGATTCCAACGCTACCATCTACAAAATTTGGGGATCTTCCTTTTTCTACTTTTTGTTTACTTAAAATTGTACTTATTATCATCTTAATATAATTTATTCATGTTAATTTTTGTATGGTTCGTCATCATTTTTAAATACAAATTTTTCGATACAATTTTTTAAAATTTCGAGACCAAATTTTTTTGGGCAAAAAATAAATGGTCTACAACTCAGAGGTTACACAAAACACTTGATAATGATAAAGGTTAAAGATTACACACAACACTTGATAGTTGGTGACAATTTGTTTTGTAATTCAGGAACGCATTTTCATTTCAATAATATAATTTTCATTCATAGTTCGGTCTAGTTTTTGTTTACACACAACTTAGAGATGATAAACATAAATTTTAATTAAAATAAATTCAATTTAAGTCATCTTAGAAAACAAATAATTAAGCACAAATTAAATACAAACTAAAAAAGGCTAAATACAAACATGAATTCCCCTTCCGCTAATTAATTACATTCAATTCCTTTAATCAATTCCCTTAAATAACTAATAAACAATTAAAAAAATAAAGGAGTTGGGCGACATAACCGTCGGGGCTGAGCGGTGCACCGCACGCGCAAGGGAGAGCAATGATATGTAGCCTAGTGTCGTACAACTAACTCATTTTATGCCATGTGGTTGTGCCGTCCATTCAATTCCCTTAATCGATTTTATACTCAAAAGATTTTATATGGAAGCAAAACCGTTTTGGTGACCTAGTAGCGTAAAAACGTAAACTATAACTGCATTGGACTAAACTGTTATAGAAGAAAGAGTTGAAAATGTGTTATGTAAGACTTCAATAACAACTTTGCACTTTATGTAATCACATCGCATGTCAAAATGAATTCATAAGTAATGTCAAAATACGTTATAAGGGGCTCTACATAACAGGTTTGTTGAAATTTTACCGAAAAATAAATATTATTACATGAAATT